AAGGCCTGGGGTCATTCCAGTCGCAAGGAAAAGCTCGACAGAAACGGTACTACTTGGAATCACCATCACCAACCCCGGCCAAACCATCCACCCCTTCCCCTCCCTATTATACCTCCTTACGCTAAACCACGTCCAAAGCACATTCTGCACCACCCCCACCGCAACATTAGCCCCCATATTATACCCATAGTCCCACCCCACCCCCTTCAAATACCCAACATGCGCCAAATACAGTCCCACACACGTCCCCGTCCATGATTTCCTCACCCCCATTTTGCTCACCCTATCCAACCGAAACACCCTCACAACAGTATAATACATCCCATAAAGCACACTCGCCCCAGCAGCGAAATAATCCAATTCTTCCGTGACCCTGAAATCCCTAGTATGAAACACCGCGCTGAAAAACCAGCTCGCCATCCCTATCCTCGCCAGCCAGACGTAGTACGGCCTCATCGAGTAGGTGGCTGGGATTTTCTTCAGGATGTGGTTGTGCAGACCGTCGTGGTGAGCCCAGAAGTTGCCGAGGGAGAAGAGCACGGAGAAGGGCTCTTGCATGCCGAGGAGGCGGTAGAAGGGCCATTTACCGTGGAATTGCACCACTGGCTCGTTGCGGGAGAGGCGGGTGGAGGTGATGATGTGCTGGCAGGTGTAGTCGCATTCGGAGGGGCAGGTCCAGAACAGGAGGCGGAGGTGGAGCGGGAGGGGGGTGGTGTTGGGGGGGAGGCAGTTTTCGGTTTGGCAGACCTAGGGGAGAGAAGAGGAAAAAAAAGTTAGTTGGGAGCATGGGGGGAGGGGAAGAGGGAAGGGGAACGGACTTGGACGCATTGTTGAAATTCGGGGAGTCGATCACCCACGCTTGCGTAGACCGTCGTGGTGGTGAACAGGACGAGGAAAAGAAGGAGCAAGGGCGAGCAGGCCCCTTTTCGAAAGAGAGGGGATCCTATCGCCATCGTGAGAGCTGTTATTCTCGTACTAAACAGCCCATTTGTCTGTATAAAAACAGCAAAGAGAGAAATAAAAACGAAAACCACAAAACTCCGCCAACTGACTGCGCAAAGTGATGTTGAGAGAACTGATAATGGAATTTCAAGAAACGCGCCTTGCGGTCCCATCAACGTTGCCCGAAAACCCGCTTGCCGGGATCACCCCTTTACTGCTGCTGCCGCCGGCAACCCCAGCTCCAGAACCCCACACTGAAAAACGCCCCCCCCCCCCCCCCCCGGCTCCCCCACGTTTATGCTCCGGATGGACCCCGTCACCGCCCCCGTACCTAACGCAAATCCGGGGGATGCACGCATCACAAGCCTCACAGGGCTGATGGTCAAAAATATGGAGCAAGCCAGGAAAGCCAATGCCAGGTACAGGTGGAGTTAGTGTGCAGATGGGGTCTCTGGGAGACAAACCAACTAGATCATGTGGTCTACG